GCTAAGGATACATACATTTATTTCGTAAAGAGAAATGCCCACAGCTTTAACCCTTTGAGGACGATGATTTAACCCTTTGAGGACGATGATTTAACCCTTTGAGGACGATGATTTAACCCTTTGAGGACGAGGATTTAACCCTTTGAGGACGATAATTTAACCCTTTGAGGACGACGATTTAACCCTTTGAAGACGATGATTTAACCCTTTGAGGACGAGGATTTAACCCTTTGAGGACGGTTAACCCTTTGAGGACGAGGTTAACCCTTTGAGGACGATGAGTTAACCCTTTGAGGACGATGGTTAACCCTTTGAGGACGATGATTTAACCCTTTGAGGACGATAATTTAACCCTTTGAGGACGATGATTTAACCCTTTGAGGACGACGATTTAACCCTTTGAAGACGATGATTTAACCCTTTGAGGACGATGATTTAACCCTTTGAGGACGATGATTTAACCCATTGAGGACGATGATTTATAAACTATCGCCAGCAAGGAGGTCAACCACACGTCCTCCAAGACTTATGCTGTGAGTGTTTCGTGTTAGTTAAGTCACTTCGCTCTACAGTAATGGCGGCAACAGACTCACGGGAATTCTGAGTTTCATGTAGGTCGAGAAGTTGTGTCGTGGCTTAGGGGAGAGATTCGTCGTCACAGTCCAGGTAACGAGGAAGATTTTTAACGTGAGAATACCTGGGACTTAAGGTTGAGTTGTAGGAGTGGTTGTTGTTACTCGATGGTGGTGGTAAGGTGGTGATAGGGGCGGTGGTAGTGGTGATGGCGGCGCTGTGGTCGATGGCCTTCCTTCCTCCTCCACCCTTGCTAGTTGACGCCCCTGGTTCATGACCGCCACCTACCCAGTTCACTATATTCACCTTAAGGTATTTCAGTTAATCACCTTTTAATTAACGTCACTCATTCAGGTAACATGAAAACCAGAGAGATAGGAGTTTATTTAATTGACGTGATATACAAATATTAATTATCACAAGAATGTTAATCCGACTCTTAATTTAACACGCGTTCAATATATAGATTATAAATTCCCTAACTCAAGACCCTGAACGTTCGTCTTTCAATGATTCTTATATTCCTCACAAATAATAATACTCATTCCTGACATCCGCCATACTTCTCAATGTAAAAAAAAAAGTTACGCATTCTTGGGAGGTTTCCTGGTTAAGGGGAAGCCTCAGGATCTAGGTAGAGCTTGTCCTGTCACCCTAGAATGTCGTCCGTCTTAGAGGAGAACGTCACGAAGAATAATGGGGGAGACAACAGTACCACTCACTCTTCCTCACTGTTCCCTGATCGTGTTCAGTGTCTCAGATCACATGGCGTTGTTTCGGCGGGAAAATATTGTTCTTGGTAAAATAAAACGCATAAAAAGGCAGAAAACTTAATTTAATGTAGTTTTTTTTTACAGCAAGTTAACATTGACGATGAAGTGAGTGTTTACAAATATATCTAGTGTTTCTATTAAATTTATATAAATACCAATGAAATACAGGAGACTATAGGAGTTCTATTATAGGTTTAGGATCCAATAGTAAACAAAAGTAGGATTCTGATGCTCAGGACAAGGGGTAAAACAGGACCAGGGAAGAGTAGAGTTTAAAATGTATACTATACAAACAGTAGGAGCGTTAGAAATAAAATAGACTTGCTGAGGAAACGGTTGTATGTACCGAGAATGTAGACGTCATAGCAATCACCGAAAACTTAGATGAATCTGGCGAGCAAATTTTTATCCAGAAACCACATAGAAGAAGTACAACCTTTTTCTGGACAGGGAAGAGGTAGGAAGGGGGGAGGGGTCGCACTCTTCGTCAAGGATACATTAAAATGTTGTAGTAATAATTCAATAAAAAATTGAAAATAAGGAACCAAGAGTCTGTGTAGGTAGAAATCGTAAGGAAGAAAAAACTAGTATGGGAGTGATTTACAGGCCCCCAAGTCTTGGCAAAAGCAGCTCAGCCCATATGTGGCAGGAAATGGGTAGGGCAAATATAACAACCCTGTGCATTATGGGATTTCAACTGAGAAATATTGGCTGAGACAACATTGCTTGAGGCGACTATGAATCTGAAGACTTCCTAGACACGTACAAGACAATTTTGAAACAACTAATTACAAGAACCTGCTGGGGGTGACAATATATTGGGCCTGGTAACAAATAAAGAAAAATATCAGAATGTCACAGTAGGGGAAGAACTGGGTAACGGTGATTACAGAGAAAATCAGGATTCACCTAAATTCAGGAAACGAAAAAACAATGACAATATGGTCAGAGTCCCAGACTTTCGGTTGGCGGATTATCAGGGGGTTAAGAAGGTGCCTGGGTAGAGTCACCTAGAACAGTCCGTCAGTCCTCCAGTAGGAAGGGGGTGAGGTCATAGATGGCTAACAATTGATCATGACTATAATATATTCACTAGTATACTACATAAAAAGCACAAGAACAAAATATACCATACAGAAAAGAATTAGGTCAAATAAGAATGAGCCAAGGTGGATATTAGAAAACCAAACATGACATAGGAAGGAATAAAAAGAAAAGGAATGTATAAGAAATTGAAGGGAGGAGGAGCATCTCAAGAAATAAGGTATAATAAACTATCTAGGAATGTTAAAAAAGAAAAATGTAAGGAAAGCAAAGCAAAGAGACTATGAAATGAAAATAGCAAGAGAATCCAGAGCGGGATCGAGAGTTTTCGGAATTATATAGGACAAGGTCAAGGATAAAGTTGGGCCTTCCCAAAAGTCAGGGAGGGTGAGAAGTGATAAATAGCAGTGAAGAAATAAGCAAAAGCATTGAACAGCTACTTCTTATCAGTTTTCACAGAAGAAATTTGCCATGAAATTCCAGAGTGGAACCGATATTTAAGGAAAGGAAGAGAATTAAAGAATATCACTATCAGAAAGAGGATGTTCTTAGAAGATAAATAAACTAAAAACGAAAATCCCCCAGGGACCGGATGAAATTTTCCTCGAGGTCTTGAAAGAGTGTAGGGAACAGATTAAGCTTCAGTTACATGCTGTTACAAAATCATTTAGAGCACGGGGTGGTGGCAGACTTGTGGGAAACAGGCAAAATATTTCTATATTCAAAAGGGGCAAACATCGGCGTCAAATTACCACGGCCGATCAGTTTGACGTCAGTAGTGGGGAAAATTTCTTCAATCAATTATAGCAGATAGCATCCGATCGCATCTGAAAGCAAATTAATCTGCGACTCTCAACATGGGTTTACAAAGGGGAGAAAATCTTGTCCTAACAAATCTGCTAACGTTTTTTTACAGGAAAGTCTTCGAGAGTAGTGAATAATGACGAAATTACGATGTTATTTTACTTAGACTTTAGCAAAAACATTTGACAGAGTACCACATCAGAGGCTTCAAGGGAAAAATTAAGGCTCATGGTATCGAGAAAGAAGTTTTACTTGGATAAAAATCATGGCTCACCGATAGAACGCGAAGGAATGGCGTAGATGGTTACTTCTTTAATCACGATGGGGCCGTGTAACCAGTGGGGTACCCCGAGGGTCAGTACTAGGCCCACTCTTGTTCATAATCTACATAAACGATCTAGATACTGGGATCATGATGACATAAGCAAGTTTGCGGATGACACCGAAAATACGGGCAACAAATTAATTCAGGGGCAGGATGCAAATGCATTACAGGAGGATCTAAATAAAACTTTACCGGGGTGAAGGTCTGAAAAATAGCAGGAAATGAAATTCAACACGAGCAAGTGCAGCGTGCCAATAATGGAAGAACAAATACTTATGAATATGCAATGTAAAAACATCAACCTGAAAGTGACTTGTGAAAGAGACCTACAGCAATTTTCCATAAAGCCCGGACCTACGGCTAGAAAACAGTGCGTTAATGTTCCGAAATAAGGCAAACTGAAATTATTGGGTTTTACATCTAGAAGTGTAAATGCCCAGAGTGCCAGAGGTCTTATTGCAGCTATATCTTGCGCTGGTCAGGACACACCTCGATTATGCGGTTCAGTTCTGGTGCCTATTATAGATAGATATAAATTCACTAAGTCGGTGCAGCAAGAATGACAAAAATGATTGGGACTTAAAGAAACCTTCCATATCAAGGATAGGTTAAAGAATTTAACACATTCCCTAGAAAGACGAAAGAGGTGCGGGGAGATATGATACAGAAGTATTTAAGTGGGTGAGGAATCAATAAAGGGGATATAGATAAAGTTCTTATAATATCCGAGCAGGATAGGACTCAGGAGCAACATGTTCCAAGTTAGTAAGTTTAGGTTTAGGAGGAAAAACTGGTTCTAAATAGGGTGGTGGACGAGTGGAACAAGCTTAACAACTTTGTAGTAAGTGCGGGAACTCCTGAAAGTTCAAAGGAAGCAAGATAGATTCATGGATGATAGAGAGTGGTAGTAACTCAAGTCAGGAGCTGCCATGCAAGCCAACCGGCCTAGTGCAGACTCCTATTTTTCTTATGTTCTTATATGAAGGCTGACGTTAAATAAAAGCTTGCTCACTTATCCATCCCCTCGGCTCTGTAGTCTCACCAGCCTCTGGCTGCCAAGCTCTTTCAATAAACCGTTAATTATTTTTATTATTATTATTATTATTATTATTATTATTATTATTATTATTATTTTCTGACTTAACTGGTTGTGTTTTTTCGCACGAGGGAGAAAGGGATGGTTTATGGGTTTATGGCTGTGATTTAGTTCTGGCTATCCGGCTGTACTGTATAACTGGTGTTATTAATTTTACCATAAGCCGGATATGGATATATATTCATTATTAATATCATTATTATTATCATTATGACTTAGATATTTATTGATAGTTATTTCCTTAACTATAATTCATTTCGAAAAAGGAAATAAATTACATCAACAATTAGGCAACTACTAATTTACATACGTGTGAAGGTAATTACTGTTGACAGGTGTGTTGCAGTCTACGGTATTCAGTGTTGCATGTTGCTTTCTGTTGCAGATGACGATGAAACCGGCGGCGGAGACTGAGCGCAACACGAGCCCGCAAGACTGTGCCGGCTGTGGCAAGCGGATCAACGACAGGTGCGTGTTTACCTGTGGTGTACTGGTTAATTACAGGTGTACTCATGTTGGTAGTAGGGGAAAACATCTGTTGTAGGTGTGTGAGTGATGTAGCATTGTAGGGTAGCTGTATTTTGTAGGGTTGCAACATTCACATATACAGTAAGTACAGAAATACTAGAAAATGCATAACGCATACATATACTCATACATATGTAACATTAATACAGGATATACATAGCAGACAAACTTTGTGTAGATAAACATACATAGGTACTTGATATAAATATACGTATACTGTATTTGGTATGAATCTCCGTTAACAATGTGTGGTTCTTCCTCCGTCAGGTACCTGCTGAAGGCGCTGGAGATGTACTGGCACGAGGACTGTCTCAAGTGTGGGTGTTGTGACTGTCGCCTGGGGGAGGTGGGCTCTACTCTCTTTACTAAGGGCAACCTGATCCTCTGCCGCCGTGACTACCTCAGGTTAGTGATGCCTTCTGCTGCGTGTGTGTTTGTTTTCTCTCTCTCTCTCTCTCTCTCTCTCTCTCTCTCTCTCTCTCTTCTCAACTTCACAGATTTCACCTGAATTTACCTTAATTTACCTGACGAAGGTGTGGTGTCCCTCCTTCAGGTTGTTCGGCACGACAGGGTATTGCTCAGCCTGCTCCAAGGTGATCCCGGCCTTCGAGATGGTAATGAGGGCGAGGAACAACGTCTACCACCTTGAGTGTTTCGCCTGCCAACAGTGCAATCACAGGTGAGGTTAGGGTAGGGTAGATCAGGTCAGGTCAGGGTAGGTTAGGTTAGGTTTCGTTAGGTTAGATCTCAATGACCTTACATACCCCCTGTGGGTTCTCAAGTTTCCCTAAGACGAATTATGTAGTCAGAAACACACACACACACACACACACACACACACTCTCTCTCTCTCTCTCTCTCTCTCTCTCTCTCTCTCCTAGTAAGTAAGTAAAATATTCACTTGCCTTAACAAACTTCTCTTTCTATCCAATTAATCTGCGCAAGTCGCGGCTCTTTAACTGCCTCACTTAGTTTAATTACCGATGGTGTTTAGTTTAATTAGGGCAGGAGGTGACTTGAGGGGTGTCGTTAGGGCGGCGTCCGAACCCGTTCACATGAGCCCGGTGGTGTGTGTGTGTGTGTGTGTGTCAGGATGATGGTGGTGGTGATGTGTGTATAGTCGTGGTTGTGTGTGTGTGTGTGTGTGTGTCAGGGTGATGGTGGTGGTGATGTGTGTGTATATGGTCGTGGTTGTGTGTGTGTGTGTGTGTCAGGGTGATGGTGGTGGTGAGTGTGTGTGTGTGTGTATATGGTCGTGGTTATGTGTGCGTGCGTGCGTGCGTGTGTGTGTGTGTGTGTGTGTGTGTGCCCTATTATTTCTAAGTTAAACGAATCTATTTTTAGTTTATGAAGTAATACAAGCTAACTTTTGTAATGGAGTTCTTGAAAACACTCTTCTTTTCACTCAAAACACCAACACACTCTTCTTTCACTCCAGCAACACAACACACTTTCCTTTCACTAGCAACGCCAACACACACACTCCTTTCACTCTCTATTAACGCCAGCACACTCTTCTTTCACTATTACACACACTCTTCTTTCACTCTACAACGCCAACACAACTTCTTTCCCCAGCAACGCCAACACCTCTCCTCTATTAACGCCAACACTCTTCTTTCCTCTAGCAACGCCAACACACTCTTCTTTCCTCCAGCAACGCCAACACCTCTTCTTTCACTCTATACGCCAACACACTCTTCTTTCACTCTAGCAACGCCAACACACTCTTCTTTCACTCCAGCAACGCCAACACACTCTTTCACTCTATTAACACCAGCACACTCTTCTTTACTCTGCAACGCCAACACACCTCCTTTCACTCTGTAACGCCAACACACTCTTCTTTCCTCTCTAATACGCCAACACACTCTTCTTTCCTCCAGCAACGCCAACACACTTTCCTTTCACTAGCAACTCCAACACACTCTTCTTTCACTCTATTAACGCCAACACACTCTTCTTTCACTCTAACGCAACACACCTCCTTTCACTCTAGCAACTCCACACACTGTTTTCACTCCAGTAACACCAACACACTCTTCTTTCACTCTAGTAACACCAACACACTCTTCTTTCACTCTGCTAACGCCAACACACTCGTTTTCACTCCAGTAGCCAACACACTCTTCTTTCACTCGAGTAACACCAACACACTCTTCGTTCCTCTAGCAACGCCACACCTCGTTTTTCACTCCAGTAACACCAACACACTCTTTTTCACTCTATTAACGCCAACACACTTTCCTTTTCACTAACGCCAACACACTCTTCTTTCCTCCAGTAACGCCAACACTCTTCTTTCTCACTCTAGTAACGCCAACACACTCTTCCTTCACTCTAGTAACGCCACCACACTCTTCCTTCACTCTAGTAACGCCAACACTCTTCTTTCACTCTAGTAACGCCAACACACTTCCTTCACCTACCTGTGTTACCTGAATCTCCAATGTGTTCAGTCAATTAACAGGTAAGGAAATATTCCTCGAAATAAATAAAAAGTAGAGAGACTTACTTGAATATGTATATTTATTTTTTATTTATATTTTGAGACAGACAGCATAGACGAACCAGAACGAGACAGACAGACAGACAAGACAGACGAACGAACGCACAGACAGACAGACACAGACGCAGACAGACAGACAGACAGACAGACATACACACAGACGACAGAACACAAAGACAGACAGACACAGACAGACAGACAGACAGACAGACAGACAGACATAGACAGACGAGCAGACAGACAGACATACACACAGACAATAAAACCAGGATGTCGAAACAGTGCTATTGTTACATTGCTAATTATGAACAACAGGAAGACAAAAGGTGAACTTCAAGGCACACACACACACTAATTAGCCATTGACCAGGTATATTATCTTGAGTCTTTACTACACTAATCACCCATTAAACTCTATAAAATAACTAAGACCTTTAACCACCTTAGAGAAGTAATTACTGTGTAGGTATGTTGTTTACCGGTTGTATAATTACTGTGTACGTATGTTATTTACCTGGAAGTAACCTGGATTTAGTAAGAATTATATGTTATTTTAGCATTGACGAACCAAGGCAGTGGAGAGTGGTGTATGACGTCATCACTTAATGTAAACAAAACTTAGTGTCTTGTGTTATATGACGTCATCACTTAATGTAAACAAAACTTAATGCCTAGTGTTATATGACGTCATCACTTAATGTAAACAAAACTTAATGCCTAGTGTTATATGACGTCATAACTTAATGTAAACAAAACTTAATGCCTAGTGTTATATGACGTCATAACTTAATGTAAACAAAACTTAATGCCTAGTGTTATATGACGTCATAACTTAATGTAAACAAAACTTAATGCCTAGTGTTATGTGACGTCATAACTTAATGTAAACAAAACTTAATGCCTAGTGTTATATGCCGTCATAACTTAATGTAAACAAAACTCAATGCCTAGTGTTATATGACGTCATAACTTAATGTAAACAAAACTCAACGCCTTTATAGTCAGGTTACATATAGAACCAGGAAGTAAATCACAGTATTTTATCGAGTCATTTTTGTACCTTTTAGAGCACAGTGTTTATCTGATAGACTTAAATTACCTTACCTTTATACATAGAGACAATAGATAGATTAAACCGATAGACAGGTAGATTGATTAACACACGTTTATACAGAGAGACAAATAGATTAACACAGACAGATGAAAACACACACACACACACACACACACACACACACACACAAGCAGAAACACACACAAGCACACACACACACACACACACACTACAAGCAAAGAAACAGACACACACCCACCCACCAACAGACAGAGACAGTGAGCCCCTCGTAAAGTCGAGGCTGCCAGACAGTTTGTTACTCCCCACGACTGTAGTTTTTAAGCTATTGAGGAGCACTGATCTGGGGCCGCTAGTAGGGGAGGGCAGAGGGACGTGCTGGTGTGGGGAGGGGCAGAGGACGACAATTAGTGAGTGGAGGGAGCAAAGGGACGATGCTGGTGAGGGGGGAGGGCAGAGGGACGTGCTGGTGGGGGGGCAGAGGGACGTGCTGATGGGGGGGAGGGGGCAGAGGGACGTGTAAGTGAGTGGAGGGACAGAGGGGAGTGTAAGTGAGGGGAGGGGCAGAGGACGTGTAAGTGGGGGGAGGGGCACAGAGGAAGTGTAAGTGTGTGGAGGGACAGAGGGACGTGTAAGTGAGGGAGGGCAGAGGGGACGTGTAAGTGAGGGGGAGGGGCAGAGGGAGGGCAGAGGGGACGTGTAAGTGAGGGGAGGGACAGAGGGGACGTGTAAGTGAGTGGAGGCGAAGAAGAGATAGAGGGAAAGAGGGAGAAACGAAGGAATAAGTGAGAGAGAAAGCGAGAGACAACTGATGGCCACAACTCATCATAACCTGGTATTAGTGAGTTAGTGGTGGAGGAAAGGTCACCTTATGCATGCAGACAACACCCTGGCAGGAGAGAGTAAGGAGGGAGGGAGAGAAACAGCTGACGACTAAAGACTCATTATAACCTGACATTAGTGGCGAGTGGAGGGGTTAGGTTATACATGCAGATGACCCCTGGCAGGAGGGTGGTGTGTGTATAGAGTGTGGTGTGGGTATGTGTGTGTAGTGTGGTGGTGTGTGTGTGTGTGTTAAGATAGGGAGCAACACAAACTACTTCACCTGAAACACTGAAGAGATACATTCCTAAAAAAACCTAACCTAACCTAATTACCCTCTTCTCCTTTGACTTGAGTTTGACGATAAATAATAATAATATCATAGCAGCCATAACTCTTACTAATTTTATCTACAAGTTTCAACACAATACCTCAGAGGGGAGGGAGGAAGAGTTGAACTTTCTAAAACAAATTGATAGAATTAACAGATGAACAACACAACTTGATAGTTATTTTTTTATCACTAATTAATGTTATATCTTAGTAGATGACTGTTCAGGTAGAGAGAAAGAACATCACCTGGTTGGTGTTTTTTAATAGTATAGTTGAGTCATCCCTGAAAAAAGAAGAATATACATTATACAGGATACATAGAAGACAGTGTTCAGAAGACAAGGGGAGGTGCAGCACGTCTCCCCGGCACGGCACCCTACTCATCCCCGCCCACCAGAATTACTATGCAAAGGCCCCTAATTTTTGCGTGTTAACTTCGATGGAGCATTTCTTTCAGTTAAGCCCTAAAATCCTGGGTATTAGGTCTCGCTTGATTAGGCTCCGTGTAGGATTTTAGGGTAATGAGTTTCGAGATATTTATAAAAGTTTAGTGTTGGAGCAGCCGATTTGATGGCGTATTCATGGAGGGGGAGGCGGCTCAGTGATGCCGACCCCCGTTGTTTACTCTGGTTCCTTGAGAGCTCCAGTTTCCCTTGTTTGTTTGATACGAATATCCACTTGTTTACGTGATAGGTTATTTTCGTGGTGTTTTCTGAGTCACTGTTGGTTGAAGACATTGAAGGATTTTGTTGATATTCGTTTTCTATGGATAACTTCTCTCGGATATATTTTCCTGGGGTGTAGTAGAGTGGTGGAGATTACGACGACTTAACCTAAAGAGACGTAAGAAATTCAAGTCTCATGCTAATGATGGAGTGAATTAGTGGCCGGGTTTACGTGTGTCGTTACAAATGAGATTGTCATGGGAGCGAGGAGGGGGGGGGACGCTGTAAAACGGAGTGGGAAGATTTCAAACTTGTATTCCTTGCCTCGGTATTATTCTAGGCTCGGCTCAGAATCACCACGTACGAGTGTAAGGTAAACATGATATAAAATCGTATCGCAATATGTGGTAATGTCTATTCCTTACGGTAAAATACGGAAGAAAGATTCAACATTCCCCCTCGCGGGCCGTAAGCTTCAACACACCCACAAATCCCGCCGAGGTCCTGTACCAAATGCTCGTATTTTCTCGCGGATATCCAGCAAATGCGCGCAGCTCCCCCTCGCATTTCGCGCGAGTATTTTTGAATACTGGGCGGCCGTGTCTAGGATTTGGAATGGCAGGTCCGGGTTTTGTTGTTGTTTGTCCGTTTTTTCTGTGTGTGTCTCCCAGTCTGTTTGTTCTGCCGGGAAGACTTGATTCCTGGCCCGTCTTCCCTCCACACCAGAGCGTCTTTTCACTTGAGCGTTTCACGGCAGAATGTCTTCATTGTTGTTCTGAGGCGAGGATTTGTTTTATCTGGCAAGATAGACGAATTATTGGCCATCTATTCTTCAACTGAATTCACCAAGTCTTAAGAACTAGTTGATGATAATATTAAGTTAGTATAACCTTGAATAAACATTGGGTGATATGTACAAAGCGTAATACCTGTAATGGGTCGAGTTAAAGTCTGAACACAGGTGCTACTATACGGGAGCTACTATACAGGCGCTATTACACTTGTTCTGACCACAGGCGTTACTACACAGGTCCTGACCACAGGTGTTGTTACACAGGTTCTGCGTTGGTGACAAGTTCTACCTGTGTGACAACAAGATCCTGTGTGAGTATGACTACGAGGAGCGGCTGGTGTTCGCCTCCATGGCCTGTACTCCCTCCAGCCTCGCCCAGCTCAAGCGGCAGATCGGCGGCCTTGAGGTACGTACGACCCCCTCTACAACCCCCTCACGACCTCTCCCACGACCCCTTCCACGACCTCTCCCACGACCTCTCCCACGACCTCCCCCACGACCCCTCCCACGACCTCTCCCACGACCTCTCCCACGACCTCCTTCACAAAACCTTGTTCAAGAGAAAATTTAGGAAATCTGTTTTCACCTAATGTATTCTGCATTTTTTAATAATCCAGGTATACTGCTGGAACACCATAGTCTTGTTTAATGTGTGTGGGTGTCTGTGTCTGTGCTTGCGTTTGTGTAGTACCGCACCCTTTCACTTCGCCCTGGGTTGAGCTATGCGTATTTCCTCACTGCCTACAGGGTCCTGCCATCATCGACGAGTCCCGCAAGCCTACCGCCGCCGCCGCCACCACCACCTCCACACCCCTCCACAACACGGCCCTCCACCACCATCACCACACAACCACACCCACACAGCAGCAGCTCCAACCCCAACAGCAGGCATCACAGCTCCTACAGCAGCAACAAGGACAGCAAGGGCAGCAACAGCAGGTACAGCAGCAGCAACAAGCACAACAAGCACAACAGCAACAGGGGCAGCCACCACCCACAGCAGCTCAACAGCGGCCCATGGTCACGTGATGCCCCACCCGGCCCATACAGTCACCTGTCTACGGACCATGAACCACCGCACTGGACTTAACTATATACTAAATTTATACATTGAATTTATATGATAAATTTATATATCATGAATATTTCTACTGTACATTATGTTAGTTACGAGTATATGAGCCAGTGGTCCAGGGCCTCACGACAGCTGACTGGGTATAAACTACGGTGTATATACTGTACATAAGCCGTCAACAGTACTAGCTTGGTGGTGTTGCTTCACCCAGTCAAGAACTACCAAAGTGATGTGATGTAAGTTCTAGTCTTCCTCCTCCACACCCCCTACTCGTCCTCTACCTCCTACTCGTCCTCCACACCCCTACTCGCTCCACACCTCCACCCATCCTCCACACCCCCTACTCGTCCTCCACGTCCTCCACCACCACCTCCTCAGTAATGGTCGTGTCCAGCTGTTGTCTCTCACCCTTGATCTGTGACTCCCAACGCTTGTTACAGCCTCCGTATGTCACCCCATAAAGGGTTTAAAGACGTCATCATCTAGAGTGTGAGTCTAGGATGTAATTTATTTTAAAGACCTCTTGAAAAATGTTGATTATTTTATTATGTATGTATATATTATTACCCCCCTCCTCCTCCTCTCACCCCTACTTCCCCTTCCCCTGTATAGTTCATCCTCCAACCTCACCCCCCCCTCTAAATGTACAGTTCCTCTTCCATTCCTCTCACCTGTATAGCTCCCCTCACCCCCGCTGTGGTATAATACATGTACCAGACTCGTGTACGATATGTTGTAACAAGTCTAGTCAGTCGCCAGCTGTGATTCCTAAGTCGTGGGTTGTGCAGTGTTCCCAGCTGAGTCGAGTCGTCACTACAACATCCCATTATGGTCTCCAACACTGAGTGGTCGGACGCCAGTGACCAGATTCACAGAGTTTACGTAAGTTAAATTTGTCTCCCAGTTGGTGCTAAGTAAACGTATCTAGTTAGGGTAAAGGATAAGTGTGATTTTGAGGCCACTTGTGGTTGTTTTTATTAAGAGGAATATTGAACCCGCGGTGTGAGAGGGCCGGGGGTACAGTGAGGAGCCCCCGGCCCTCTCACACCGCGGGCTCCTCACTGTACCCCGGCCCTCTCACACCTCGGGCTCCTCACTGTACCCCGGCCCCCTCACACCTCGGGCTCCTCACTGTACCCCGGCCCCCTCACAACGCGGGCTCCTCACTGTACCCCGGCCCCCTCACAACGCGGGCTCCTCACTGTACCCCGGCCCCCTCACAACGCGGGCTCCTCACTCTACCACTAACTCGCGTGCGCCAGCCACTTGTCAGAATGGAAGCTGATCACCTTAACTTCACTCTTGTCTTCATATATAATTTGGTTCATTCACGATTAAATCTCTTGTTTACATTTCATCTGTTTCCCTCAGATCACGCCCCTGCCTACCTGGTCACTAGAAGCTAAAACACAACAAAAATCCCCAAAATGACATCCAAACTACACTGAGACTCTACCTTAACTAGGTACATTTAATTAGCACTAGTTAAGGGACATAATTAACGTAAGGACATAATCTTTTATGAATCTGACCCCCACCTGACCCCAGATTCTGTTGTGGTAGTCATCCCTCATGTGTGTGCGTGCGCGTGCGTGCATGTATAGATAACCGTCTCATGAACTGTATTAACTGTGTGAAGATGACTGTAAGATGACCATAAGACACATGAAACTCTTTTTTGTTTATTTTATTTTTATCATAGTAGACACCTTCAATGTATATCTTACCATGATTGTATTTATGTATCAATGCTTCAAAGTAATATATTATTTATATCATGTTAGTTTTATTTGTATTATTTTGTAATATACGAGTCCCTGTATACCTGTAATAATCAATAATACATTTACCTTGTTTTGATTACAGTAAAATGGTGTTAATGATTACAGGTGTACAGGTACTTTTGGGTCACCTGTATGTACTGTATATATATAAATTTAGGTTAAGTGTATTTATATGCTTAACCCATAAACACTTAGTCCACAAACCAAAGAAGTAATTTGAGTACTTATGTTCTCGTTATAAACTCCTCATTGTTCCGTGTTCCGTATATATATAAAATGACCTGTGACCTCTGTGTACTGTCTCTTTCACCAGTGCCACCTTGACCTTTGACCTCTAGAGATAAATATTTCCCAACAGGTGAGGATGTGAGAAGGTATTTACTGTCTCGAGTAACGTATGAATGACAAACAATATGGCCTCGTATTTACATAGACTGTTTATTTTATATTCAGTTAATAAAAAATATATAGACGAATGAATCTTTGAGAATCTTGATCAAACATAAGATTCGGGTTCTTTATTATTTATATTTTTTACCCTTAGTCGTGAAGAAGTAAACGATACTACCGAGTCTCTCTGTAAGTTCGATGCTCTTTTGTCTATCGTCTTTATACTCTGGATTTATAGAGACAATTAAATATCTCCTCAAACATCCAAATAAGTTGAAAACAAATCTTAAACCCTTAATTGTCCAAACTTAGGTCATGTCAGGTCAATAGATGTATAAATTGTTCATACTATTGTCCTACCAGATAAAGGAGTCAGACACCCCCCCCCCCCCACAGAACTAACTGACACCTCCCTCGCCTTCGTCAACCCAACACCTGACGCTTGATAGTGGCGCAGTGTTAACCAGCCTCCACCAGTATCACTAACCTGTACTACCTTATGTGGGCTTATTGTAAGACTGTGTAGTAATTCATGAAATAAACAACAATTAATTATGAGATTTTGTCGTCTTATTTACCTGTACAGACACACCTTGATTGATAATTAACCTATTACCAAATAACCTCAATTAACAGGTGATTACAATTGTCTTATGCTGAGAGAAATAAAAAATTACCTATTTTGTATGAAATTATGAGGACTAATTAAGAGTTCTGGTACAAAATAGCTCTTATTCTTGTCTAAATACTGTAAGAGTAACGTGTAGTATAATTAGTTTCATTTGACTAACTATAACTACAGGTATATAATTTTAAGTAAGAAAAATAACGTTATAGATTACAACCAGTTTATGTTCAAGTACAACCAAACGAATCGACTCAAACCTCAAACAATATTAAGGATCTTTATATTGCTTTTGTTTTTCTCTTAAGTTTAATTCAGCAGGTTTGTTTTTATCCATTTTCTTCTTATCCATCTCTTATCTTTTCCTCTTTCACCTTATCCACCTTTTATCTTTTCCTCTTTCACCTTATCCACCTTTTATCCAGATATTATCCACCTTCACTCATTATTCCTCTTCTATTTTGATTTTCCCTTTTCTTTTTCTTGGTAATTTCATGTTAATCAGGATAAAAGGTTTTACAATTTTATGGTATTTGCTGACGCTGTTAGTGGTGAAGGGGGCAGGTAAGGGAGGGGTGAGGGAGGGAGGGTGGAAGGGATTGGAGTTTTTATAATTAAAGACAAGGTATTTGCTCGCTGGCGCCGGTCACGGAAACCTTTCATTATTTTAATTCGCTGAGGGAGCTTTAACACCCCCCCTCCCTCCGTTCCCCTCCTCCAGGTATACCAAGAATATTCACCTCTGATTAACGCCATCACACCTGTACATCCCTCATTCTTCTCTTCCTCCACATTCTCTCTCCTGTGCCTTCCTCTTCCTCCTTCCCTCCTCATGATCAAAGGTGTGTACAATTGGTCAGCAGTGTGTACATTAAGGTCAGTTGTTTGTACACCTCATCAGCTGTACAACACTACACAAAACAATAATCATCTCTGGTATTTACTAAACGTACTTTACAATATTATCTTAAACCCTAAACTCACTTTACACGTGATTATCTTTAAACTGAATAATTAACTAAAGTTATACGTAACAAACTAAGACATTTTAGGATACGTTATAATTTAATGTTTTTGGTTTAATTAAGTTACTCATTACCTCCAAATTAAGTTATAGAAACGTGTCTTACATATTATTATAGCTTTCGCGTTATTTATTTATTGAAATATATTACGTTCAGTGTCTTATTAACTTGAATGTAAAAAAACATCTAAGAAATAAAAAATAGTCTTACGTAAACGAAAAAATAGTGAGTGTCTTTACCGAGGAAATATAGATGAAATGAGATTCTAACCCTACACAATGCCATCCTTAATGTATATAACGTTAAGACGCTGTTCAAATGAGGAATATACACTGAATAATCCCTTGGTGTATAATTTTGCCAGACTATGAAATTTAGGAATTGAAAATGATAAGGTAATAGAAAAACAAATGTATCTACTAAATTGAAATAAATGAAGGTTCTCACTAGTGCAAAAGAGCATCAACAGCCACAAGTCTTTTTTTTTTTTAAGGTTTCGAACACTACTTAGTTTCTCTTGATCCTCCTCCCGCAAGAATGACAAATTTTTATGGCTCTTATAACTCTTGCGGATGTCACGGCGTTTATGAGGCGCGGCCTAATTTTCATCCCTCTCGTAATGCTTCATGTGGGGAATTTTTTGAGGGAAGGTCGGTGGAGTCATTAGCCTGGGCTGGGGTTTTCGATCTTGTGAGCGTCTTTTGGTTATGTCGTTTATTATCCAACTCGCTCGAGGTGCTCTCCGCCCCCCCCCTTTACAAACCCGGGAGTGAAACTTAACCAAGTTTTTTAATTTTATTTTGTTCTGTCGATCGTTACTTTCATTAGTGATATTCTGCTTAGCGTTAATATTAAAAAAAAACAATTATTTGATTTTCGATTACTATATACTCCGGAAAAGACGTAACAAGCTAAGTGGTTGTTAGTGTGTGTAAAACAGCTCGGTTGTGTTGTTACGCCACTATCACTATGACTCAGCCGGAGCCCCTGTGTGTGGAAGACCTCGGTTATTAGTGATGAGAAACTGAGTGAGAACGGACTGTCTTAGATACCTGTGAAAGAACGGACGGACGGACCGGAGCAGCCACGGACGGCTCAGTAAAGGACACACAGGTAACACTGATCTACCTTTATGTTTTAATAGACCACCTGTGTCATTAGAGCCACACCGGACACCATCCCTAAAACGAACATTATTTTACCGGAAATATTATCAGGAATTTCGTTAACTAGATAAACATGAAGTAAAATTTTAACTTGACCTGTTTGCTAGTGGTATATAGACATTAGGGGCTTGTTTAAACATACGAGGTGAAATATATCATAGACAAATGGACTTAAATTCGTGATGTACTAACCTTTGACGTAAGAGATAAATGAGAACTTGTGTTTGGTCATATTAATGCTCTGTTTTTGTTTTACACATAAGTAACCTACATAATTCAACAAGATAAATCAATTGGATATACGT